TACTATGTGTTAAAGTGGCAATAGAAGCCAACCTCAACAACATGAGTTCGGGAATTTGAAAAATATCAAACAATGCTTCAGTTTGTCCCAGTATCCTTAGACTTGATGTGAACATTATCAGATCTTATTGTTAGCATACCGTTCGAAAACTGTGCAAATTTTGCCATCTCGGAGTGTTCGCCAAGACGGTAAACGCAACAGCGAATCGTAAACAAAATTTTGACGAGAATATTTCGGCTTCTATAGTGCTTGAAAATCTCACAGTTGGTCGGTCATCTCTAAAGGATATCAAATGAAAAATGAGTAGTGAATCAACTATGCAAAATGATAGAAATGATAAGAATCTGAAGGAAATGGAATGTGAAATAAGGTGTCATTGTGATTCACATAACCGTCATTCTGATTGACAAAGTGCTGTGTTTTTTTTGTTGAGTGTCACAACGTTTACATAGGCAGGTAGCGTTTTTTGCGATCAGTCGAAAGAATTTTCGTTCGTGCGCGTTGTTTTTTGCAGTGTTGAGTGCAATTATTTGCAATGCGATGAGTTATTTTATGATGGAAGCAACAAACTTCTCCAATGATTCAATAGCAGTGATTAGAGGTTATTGGAAGGATGAGTTCAGGGCTGTCAATAAAGGGGATGAATAACCTTTGATCTGAGGATATTGTGGGAATGCATGATGACCGGTGCACAGCATCGCGAAATCAAATCGTTCTGTTGAGCCATCGCGTAATGTCACTTCCCATTTATTCTCAACACGCTCCAACTGTAATTTAGCGCAAATTTACAATCAATACGATACAAAAAGCAAAAAGTTGATTCAGAATATCTGCAGAATTCATAGGCGTTATGCAGAGAGTAGTGTCTAATGATACGGCCATGGAATTACTCAAACAAAATAAGGTAATAGCAATCAGATCGCTTAAAAGAACCTTCGTCACATTCGTATTGAATCGAATATGCTTATACAAATCGAATTTGTTCGCGTAAGCTCGAAGATAATCCATCACCAACGAATTATGCATGAAATTGGGATAGTTATCGGGTGGTGGAAAATCAGAATACGCCATCATTTCCT